CCCCCATGGCGGCTGTTGCTGCCCAAACCGCCATCCACGCGCAGCCACCACCCACCTCCAACACTACGCATCAGTCCCATTTTCTGTTGAGACTAAATCCACTGTCCCCGTATTGTAGAATGAAGATGGGAAGGGGGCGGATGAAGATGCTAGCCGGTGCCGGGGAAATAGGCAGTGAGATGCCAGTGCCGGAGATGCCATCCCTGTATTGTCGATTTTGTCTCTTCGCGTTTCAAGATAGTGTTGGATCTCCAGTCGAGAAACATGCCTTTTCTCTTATATTTTTCTTCTTGTTGTTCATTGTCTTCTCATTCATCGTTGTATCCGTGGTTGTCGTTCGATTTTGGCTTGATTATTTGATTGGTTTCAAGTTCTTTAATGATGATGAAAGATACTGAGAGTTGGAGTAGCATAGCGGTGGATTCATCGCCTACTCACCTTTGTCAGCAAATGCAGAAACTTGAGGTTTATAACGAGGTGCTTGAATTAACGTTATCCTTACTTAGGGTTATAACCAGATGGTTATGAAGTATGAACTATTCTCTCAAGTCTCATACCTTTGAGATCTAGTTGTTCATAGGCATATGCTTGAACAATTCAAATCCCAATACTAGCATGTTAGCAGAAAATCAAGAAGCTCTACCACTGCAACAAGAGAATTCCAATTAACAGTGGGCCTGTTTGGTGCGTCTTTTTGGCTGACATGTAAAAGACGTATTGAGCTTTTACATGAAGATCCGACAAGCCCAAAACAAGTTGCGTTTTTTCGTGCAAGATTAAAATGTAAAAGATGCGAGAAGTTTCATTTGGAGTTTTCCGAAATCAGCCCAAAATAGGTTTTTCGTGTCTTTTTGACGTTCCATCTTTTGGCAGCTAAATCTTTCTTGCACCAAACGAAAATAAATCAAAAATCGGTCTTCACGACTAATGAACAACCAAAAGACCCCGTAGAAAAATATATCAAGCGGCCCCACAGTCTTTAGTTTCAATTGCATAAGACACGATGAAAGGCTGTATCTGATTTAAACTCATCACTATTATCGCTAGAATTAAACACTAAAAGAAGAAATCAAATTAAAAGACTTCACATCATTGTGCTCAGGCTCTGCTTCTCACTCCATCTTAAGCTCTCAGAAGTGGCATTGCCTCCCATTCACCATTCTTCTGGTTATGAAGATATAATCCATCTTCTGAAACCCTCCACCGGCATTCCGACCGGCACCTTGACCAGTCGCGCTCATGAGAATAGGCATCAAAGTGAAACCAGTCATTCTTGAACCAGTTCACATTACAGTAGAACAGCGTTGTTCCGAGGGTGTTGGTAGAGAACGCCCACCCAAATTCATCACCATCTGCCAGAACTTGGTTGCCGAGGTCGTCGTCGCCAGACTGGCAATGCACGTTCATACTCTGCCCATTCCCTAGTCTGTTCATGATATAGACGTGCTTTCTGCCTGAAACAAGGGATGAGATGGGCAGGATGAAGAGCAAGAGAAGAACCAAGGCATAGTTTGTGAAGAAGAAGATTTTCATAGTATCGCACTCACTCAATGCTGGAAGTGGATGACTAGATTGCTTTCCATTATCGTTATATATATACACATTACACACACGTACTGAAGGCATGCACTCATGTCTGCTCATCCTCCTCTCATATATAATCTTCACAAAGAGTGTGACTAGCTACTTCTCTTTCCAACCAACGTTTAATACCAAAGAACGTTATTGTTGTGGGTGCTGGTATATATAGTGTTGTCAATGGGGTGGGTCGGGTCCGGGTCTGCAGCCAGGACCCAACCAAAATATATATATATATATTTGACCCATTTGGTTTGTCCACCAAATTAGTGGGAAATCTTGCTTGTTACATTTTTTCTTTGTTTCTTTGATCCAATTCCATTTTGTTTTTACTGTACTATTGCTTTAGTCCACTTATTTGATTAATGGGTCTCTAAACCTACCGCATTGAATGAAACCCTACTAAGGGATGTCGGTGTGGGTAGGGTTAAGTGGCGCACTGACTCGATCCTGTATGATTTGGGTTGGGTCAGGTTTAATCAGGTTTTGGGTTGGGGTTGGATCGAGGTGATGCCCATTAACATTCATCATTGAGACATTTGTACATATTATGCTAAGAATGCAAATACAGCATTGAAGTGAATTTACACTTTGGATTGGTTTTGTAGGTGCTTGGTGAAAATGCATTTTTTTGTACGAAAGATGAAAGTAAAATTGATTTTTCCACCGTTTTTTCATTTAAAATGGGAGCAAAGTTTGCTTTTCAGGCTGTGGATGGCAAGAATGAAAAAAGAGAATACATTAGTGTGATGAAAATTTATTTCAGTAGATGGATGCAAATCCATTTCAGTTTTGTATTCATAAATTTAAGGTTATTATTTGGTTGTGATGGATGCAAACTAGTATTTTAAAAGTTGTCTATTTTATTTTTATTTACCGAGAAAAACTTCTGAAGCCAAAAGGGGTATTTTTTCCATTGATACCTTATGATATTTATATACAAACGATGGAATTCCTTGTTCCCCAAAACTTTCTAAAAATAAATTCCTAAACCAAAAAGAAAAAAAAAACTTCCCAACTATACAGATCCGGGACTCTTCTGTAACATATAGATCTGGGACTCTTCTGTAACATACAGATTCGGGACTCTCGCGAGTCTTATCTCCGTCTAATACTCCCCCTCAAGGGTGCATGAGAATTGCGAATGCCCAACTTGGAAAGGAAAGAATCAAACTTTTTTTGTCTGAGAGCCTTGGTGAAAATGTCGGCAAGTTGTTCACCGGTACGTACATAGGCAAGTGCAATAGTGCCGGCTTGGAGCTCATTGCAAATGAAATGGCAATCAACTTCAATATGTTTGGTTCGCTCATGGAAAATAGGGTTTGCGGCAATGTGCATAGCAGCTTGATTGTCACAAAACAATCGTATAGGCTGAGGATGAGATATACCCAAAGACGATAGCAGACCTTTTAGCCACTTCAACTCACAACTGGTAGTAGCCATTAATCGATATTCAGCCTCGGCAGAGGAACGGGAGACAGTATGTTGTTTCTTAGTCTTCCAGGAGATGGGGGAATGTCCTAACATGACAAAATACCCAGTAAGAGAGGGACGAGTTAGAAGACAACTCGCCCAGTCGGAATCACAATAGGCATACAATTGCATTTCACTATCAGAGCACAAAAATATTCCTTGACCAGGACGTCCTTTCAGATAATGAACCACACGTAATGCCGCATCCCAATGATCAACACGAGGACACTGCATAAATTGAGCCAGGACATGGATGCAATAACTGAGCTCCGGTTGTGTAATGGTTAAATAAATCATCAACCGGCCCACAAGATGTCGATATCGTTCAGGGTCATATAGGAGTGCTCTGTCAGCAAGGGCAAGCTTATGATTCTGAGTAATAAGAAAGGGAGCAGGTTTGGACCCCAATAAGTCAGTTTCTGTAATAATATCATGTGCATATTTTCTTTGGCAAAGAAATATCCCCGATGATCTGCGAGTCACTTCGATGCCCAAAAAATATTTAAGCACACCCAAGTCCTTCATGTGAAAACATCGATTCATATATTGTTTAAATTTGTGTATGAACTCCGGGTTATTCCCACCAACGATTAAATCATCAACATAAACCAGGACGTGCAAGACAAGCCCATTCTTGCAATATGTAAATAAGGAATAATCGGAATAGGACTGTTCAAACCCAAAAGTTTTCAAGGCAGCACCTAACTTAGAGAACCAGTTCCGGGGCGCTTGCCACAAACCATACAAAGATTTCTGGAGTTTGCATACCTTTCCAATCCTGGAGGCCGAAAAACCTGGAGGAGGTTTCATATAGATCTCCTCATGGATATCACCGTGCAGAAAAGCATTGTGGACATCCATCTGATGCAATTCCCAATGTTGGGCCGCAGCAATTGCTAAGAAGGTTCGAACTGTGACCATTTTAGCCATAGGGGCAAAGGTCTCGTTGTAATCAAGACCTTCAACTTTAGTGTTGCCTAGGACTACCAACCGTGCTTTAAATCTTTCAATGGATCCATTAGAGTTGTACTTGATTTTGTAGACCTATTTACACCTGATTGCCTTTTTTCCAGGTGGGAGGTCTTCCTCCATGTCCCATTGTCTTCTAAAGCCTATATCTCTTGGCGCATAGCCTCGCGCCACCGAGCATCAGTCATTGCCTCAAAGAAAAGAGTAGGTTCTCACCCTGCAGTAACAGCTGCCAAGAAATGTCTGTGTTTCATAGAAAAATTATCATACGTCACATAATGAGTTATGGGATAAGGAGTACCTGAGGACTGAGATGATGCAGGAGAAACAACGGAGGGGTCTAAACGATGAGCATAGTGTGTGACAAAATCCTGTAAATAGCTGGGGGGGCCGCTTTTCTCGATGTTTGCGGCCTAATAATTCCGTGGTGGACTGAGGAGCAGCTGGAGTTTCATTATTTATGCAATCTGTATGGCTCCTTGTCTCATCAAGAGGACCTGCCTCCTCATCATTACCCGTGTTCTGATGTCCTTCTTCATTGATCGTGTCGCTCCCCCTGACTTCTATATGAGGTGACTCACATACCATGTCAGGAGGAATAGCCCAAGGCAATCCAACATTTTATTTGGTTACGGGAGGACTGGTTATAGAGGGTTGATGTTCCGGAGTGGCAAAGGGAAACTCGGCCTCACAAAACACCACGTCTCGTGAGACGAAGTAATCACCATAGTCAAGATCGTATAATTTCCGTCCCTTTTTCCCAAAAGGATACCCAACAAAGACACATTTCCTACTCCTAGCGACAAATTTGTCACGGTCCCGAGTATGCGAAAAACACAAGCAACCAAAAACTCTAAGATATTTATAAGAAAGACTTTGTCCAAACAGCATCTCGAAATGTGTTTTACCACCAAGAAGGGTTGAAGGTGTCCGATTAATCAAGTACCCTCCGGTCAAAACACACTCACCCCATAAATTGATCGGAATATGTGCTTGAAACCTGAGTGCTCTGACCACATTCAAGATATGACGATGCTTTATCTCCACACGACCATTTTGTTGTGGTGTTCCAACACAGGAAGTCTGAAATAAAATCCCTTGCTCGTCAAAATATGATTTCAAGGATTTAAACTCTGTTCCATTATCACTTCTCACCACCTTAACCTTCTTATTAAATTGTCGTTCAATCATTGCACAGAAATTTTTGAGTGTTCGACAAACTTCACTTTTTTTCAGCCAGCAAATAAATCCAAACCGCTCGAGAATAATCATCAACAATTGTCAAAAAATATACAACACCGCAAGATGCAAGTACTCTATAAGAACCCCATAAGTCACAATGAATCAATGCAAAACAATCAGTCGCTTTATTGCCGCTTTGAATAAAAACATCTCTAGTTTGCTTTGCCTTCAAACAAGCATCACAGGTTTTGTTCTTACTATTACTGATATTAAGAAGCAAACTAACCGTATGATAAGAAGGGTGTCCCAATCTCCGATGCCACAAATCGCATGATCCAATTCCATCTGTCTTGTAAGCACGAACCGATGCCACACCCTTGAAGACATAGACCCCATCAAGCTGTTCACCCTTATCGATCAGAGTCCTCGAGACACGGCCCTGTATCACACACAACTTAATAGTAAACGTCGCAATACAATCTATATCACGAAGTAACCGACCTACTCACAATAAATTACAATTGAGTTTTGGGACATATAATACGTGCAACAATTTTAAATTATTTCCAAGTTCAACAGTGCCTTTTTTCACGGCCTCAGTGTGCGCACCGTTGGGTAAACTAACAGGGCAAGGTGCAACATCATAGGTGTCGACGAGCACATTTAAATTCCCTGTCATGTGATGTGACGCCCCAGAGTCAACAATCCATTCAGTGGAGTAATTCTTACTAGAGAGTTTTTCATTAGTCCTAGTTTTGTAAGCATTAAGCAAGCTTACAAGAGTCTGCCATTGCTCGTCATTAATCCCGTTCAGTCCAGTTTTGTCTTCGTCGATCACAACTGCATTAGTAGCCACCTCATGTCCCGTTGATGACTGACCAGTATGAGCCTTTGTCGTACCTTGGCCACATCCGCCAGAGGGTCCAACAGACTTACTCGAGCTCTCACCGTTCCTGTCATTGTTGGCAGCCATGGTGTTCGATAAGCAAGACTTGTCAGCAATAACATCGAGTTGTTAAAGAAACAAGAAGAAACACGACCCATGAACAAGCGGATCACTGCCGTAGTCTTTGATTATCCTCTGAATCGTCGACTGGCAGCAACGAACTTGGAGCTTCAGCTACTGATGCTGTTGAATATTGTGACTCGCGCACTGTTCCGATCCTTCGGAAAAGGAAAGGGAATAATTGTTTGGAATCGCCGCAGTTGGAAGAAAACTTATGCTTCGATGGCCACTTAATGAGTACAAAAGTTACAATATCGAGTATCCTCCATAGGTTTCCCGTTGGAAATTTTAATTAGCAAAACGAACGGTAAAATCAGCACGAAGAAAGAGAGATAACAAGTAGTAACAGTACTGTAACACTGTTCCCTTGGCAGTTGGCGTTTCCTCTATGCCACTGCTGCAGCGATGGCACCCATCGGTCGTTGGTTGCGCAACGAATAGCAACCGTTCTGATACTGCTTAGAACACAAACCCCATGCTGCCGGTGCCGAGCGAATGTGGCGATGCTCTCAGCAACATTGCTACCGCTACTGATCTGCAGAACGTGGCTCTGCAGCGTAACCTTGCTTTGATACCATGAGAAAAACTTCGGAAGCCAAAAGGAGTGTTTTTCCCATTGATACCTTATGATATTTATATACAAACGGTGGAATTCCTTGCTCCCCAAAACTCTATAAAAACAAATTCCTAATCCAAAAAGAAAAACAAAACAAAAAAAAATTCCCAACTATACAGATCCGGGGACTCTCGCGAGTCTTATCTCCGTTCAATATTTATTGTCATCCTCCTTTTTTATATTCTAATTTATTATTTATTACTTTATTTTATTTTAAAGTTTTCTATTATTTCAAATTGGGGTTAAGCTATGATATCGGAAAGACATGATATCCAACTTTTTTTTTTAATTAGTCAACGCGTATAATAGAAGTGGTAATCAATCAGATGGTTTTTTATGAAATTCATTTTACACTTCCAATTGGCATTTCGCTTTTTTTTTTCTGTTAATTATAATTTATTTTGGTCCAAGAGACATATTGAGAACGTTTTAAAAAAAGATTGAGAGCATCCCTTGGGGTGGGGGACAAGCACTTACGGTCTTCATCTTCGAAACAAAGCAACAACAAAAAAGCTTTATGCAGGATCGAAGTACAAACCTTCAGTTTACAAGACTGACGCTCTACCACTAAGCTACAAGGGCGTAATCAGTCTCTTATACTATTTATAGGAAATTATCTGTTTGTAAATAAATTAATTGTTTGAAAAACTGAAATAAATCTTATATTGGACTAGGCCCAAGAATACGTGAGATAATGTTCAGAGTGAGTCGATAGTTGCAAGCTATTCAAGTCAATTATAAATAATTTGTTATTAAAAAATACAAATAATTTAATATTTAAAATATTATAAAACTTGATTATAAATTTATTTATTTATATTATAAATAAATTATTATCAAATAATTAATATTTATATGTATTATAAATAAAAAGACTGAAAATATTTTATTAGAAGCTCGATCAGGCTTGTGAGCTTCTTGAGCCGAATACTATGGAGCTCAAACTGACTCGACGAACTACTTAACTTGAAAATCTTCGAGCTGAGTTTGAATATTTAGTGAGACAATCTCGAATAACTCATGAATTGGCTTGGTTTGCTTATTCCTAGGGCCGTTACGGGTAAGGTTGGGTTGGTTTACTGGCATTTTTTCAACCGACCCAACCTGGTCGATTTACCTAAAAATGAAATCGAAACCAACCCAATACTAAGTAAAATCGACCTGGTCGGTTTGAATCGGGTTGGGTCGGTTTTGTGAATGATTCTCTCGGTATGAACGGTAAAGGATTCAAGTCTAAAAAAGCAAAGGCTGGATGCCTACAAATTAAAAATGATTTGATGGATTAAAAGTGATATTTTATATATCAGAATTTTTATATATAATATGTGTATTTTTGAAATAAATCTCCACAAATATATATCTGAAGTATATATTAAAACTGAAATATATATATAGTAAAACTGAAATATATCAGATATATATAAACCGAACCGAACCATCGGTTTATGTTTTTTTGTAACCTGAAACCAACCGATGTAAAAAAAAAACCGACCAACTCAAATTGGATTGAACCGGATTAATCCGTTTCGGTCTTGTTATGAAAAGCCATACTTATTCCCCTAACGGCTACTACCACATTTTGGTTGGAAGTTAGAATTGGTATTTTATTTTCTTCATTTTTTTTTTGTATTTACTGCAACATGTTAATTATTCTCGAAGGTAGGTGGTAATATAAGGGATCGATTCTGCATTTCGGTAGGGATTATTTGAACCACCACTCAATTATTTAACATCAACATTCTGATAAACGGAGGGCCGAAGGAGAAACGGAGGATATGGAGATAATAGAGGGATATTTTAAAAATATTATAACAATCACTTGTTATCACATTCACATGCTACCTGTCCTATCCTGTTGTAACTTGGAAATTGTAAGAAAACCCTACTTCAAATCATTTTCAAAAGTGAGGGATATTTAAGTCATTATAGCAAAACCCAGGGGTATACAGATATAGAAACCCTTTTAGGGTTTTATAAGTTCCAAGGCGTGGAAGAGGAAGCCCTAGCGAGGTTAAAGAGACTTTTTGTTCGTCCGCCTTGGCGAGCTCTCGCGTCGTCTTGGTCCTCCTTCTTCAATTCTAGGGTTTTCTTCTATCTTTCTCTGAAACTCAAAAATAGTGTAATGGCGGTGAAGCCTTCCAAGACTGAGAAGAAGGCCGCATACGATCAGAAGCTCTGCCAGCTTCTCGACGAGTACACTCAGATCCTCGTTGCGTCGGCTGACAATGTTGGGTCGAATCAGTTGCAGAACATCCGTAAGGGGCTACGTGGTGATTCCGTTGTCCTTATGGGTAAAAATACCATGATGAAGAGGTCGATCCGGCTTCACGCCGAGAAGACCGGCAATAAAGCGTTTTTGAACCTCATCCCCCTGTTGGTGGTACGTTTTGAGATTGTCTGTTTCTCCGTTTTGTTATTCTGTCTTCGGATTCTAGGGTTTTTAAGATGATTGATTAATGTTTCTCTTTTTTTTTTTCAACAGGGAAATGTTGGTCTTATTTTCACCAAGGGAGATTTGAAGGAAGTGTCTGAGGAAGTTGCTAAATACAAGGTTTGGTGTTCTCTATTTCTTTAAAGATTCGAGTATTGGTTTATACTTAGTTGTGGGCTGGATATTGTTTGGTTAATTGTATTGCTACCATTGAAACGCAGTCTAAGATGGAGGACATGTAGAGGGAAGAAAATGGAAATACATGTTTGTAAGATTTGTTATGAAAATGCCTGTAGAGACCCAACAAACAAAAGTCATGATGCTGAAAATCTACCAATGAAGCATCCAAAATAGGAACGGGTTATTTTAATATTAAAGTGGGGTCTTACTTATTTAGTTGTATCACTGAGGAATATATGGGGTTTGTAGCAGCAATTTATGGCCTGCCAGGATATCGGGGTTCTTCTAAAATATTTTTCGGACCGTGCAAAATGTTGTTTCTTAAGTATTTTCCCATATCCATCTTGTTGAATTGAACTGAAGATTTATGCAATAGTGGCCTTTTGCAAAATTTGTTCCTCGTTTATTCTAGGCTTGTATTGCCTTGTCAAATGACTTGGAACGACCATCAAATTATTAAGATGCGATGCCAGGATTTTGTATTTCGAAGGCTGTATGTTTTGCATGTATTTTGGGTTGTGTGCATTTGGTACCCTTCCGGAAAATTTGTGTTTTGCTTGCAGTAGCTTTTTTGGGAACTCGTGCAAATTAAAATGAGAGTCTTCCTTGAACTTGTACCTCAACAGATGGAATCCTTTTAATTGTATGCGATATATTCTATGCAGCATGTATTTTCTTAAATCAAGTACCTGTTTCTCACTGAAATCTATTGTTTCGAATCAACACCGGGTGGAGACTTGGTAAAATCTTCATTGTTAGGCTTCTAATGTAAACCATATGGTTTCTAAAATCCAATTTCACCGTCTTGTATTTTGAAAAATAGAATTATTGTATGTGAATTTAACAGTGGGGCCATTTACTCTGCCAAAGGTTTGCTTTATTTGTCTCATATGAAACAGTGTTCCATATCTATTTAAAAGCCTTTTCACTTTTTGATTCTCAAAGATATCTTAGTTTAGAATCAACGATTGGATGATTCCACATCTGTATATGATCTTAGAAGATTGTTGATGAAATAATTCTTTCTTGTTATAAACAGGTTGGAGCTCCTGCCCGTGTTGGTCTGATTGCTCCAATTGATGTCGTTGTGCCTCCTGGAAATACTGGGTTGGACCCTTCTCAGACTTCCTTCTTCCAGGTTTATATCCTGTCACATAAATGCGATCTCCCTCTTTGCATTTCTTTCTTGATTATAACACTTTATAGTTTATACTTTGCAGGTTCTCAACATCCCCACCAAGATTAACAAAGGTACTGTTGAGATTATCACACCCGTTGAGCTGATAAAGAAGGGAGAGAAGGTTGGATCTTCCGAAGCTGCTCTTTTGGCTAAGCTGGGGATCAGACCGTTCTCATATGGATTAAACATTTTGTCTGTATATGACAATGGGTCTGTTTTCAGTCCGGAAGTGTTGGATCTCACAGAAGATGACCTCATGGAGAAGTTTGTATCAGGAGTGTCTATGGTGACAGCACTCTCACTGGCAGTTTCGTACCCAACCCTTGCAGCAGCACCACACATGTTCGTTAATGCATACAAAAATGTTCTTGCTGTTGCTGTTGCCACAGAGTACTCTTATCCTCAGGCAGAACAAGTGAAAGAATACTTGAAGGTTTGTTAGTTACGCTACTTTCTAATATTTATGCTCCCTCTTCTGTTTATACATCCTAGAGGTTACTTTATATTGGCATAAACAAATTATAATCTGCAGGATCCTTCAAAGTTTGCAGTTGCTGCCGCCCCTCTTGCTGCAGCACCTTCTGGTGGGGCCCCAGCTGCTGCTCCTGTGGAGGAGAAGAAAGAGGAGCCGGCAGAGGAGTCTGATGATGACATGGGATTCAGCTTGTTTGATTAAGTAGTAACATCTGTTGATTTTGCAGGATGGAACATTCAGATTAGAGTTTTGTTTTCTTTCTTTCCTTTCATATTTGTTAAAGGCTTATTTGACATCGTAGCTTTCACATGAATTTTTAGTTTTGGATGATTTTCGTTGTCTTATTGATGAGTTAATCTTTTACATGCGATTTTCTTGTGTTAAGACGTCACTTCCTCGCGAGTTCTGAGTTTTGATGACTGTTGGGTTGGACACTGATTCTGATACTCTGGCTACCGAGGGGGACTAGTGGATGATTCTGATCCATATTACTTGTGGGGTTAACCACCATTCACCATTAGATGAGCGTTGTTTATCATGATCTCAGCCAATAAGGGCTGCACCGTATTGATGCTTTGAACCACCAATTCACCATTACGCTATATTCACCGATTCAGGACAAATATTCTCTTTTTTACAGCGATTTAATATTCGGTTCCAAACTGGTGCAATGTTGCAAGAATCCAATCCTTGTTTTCTTCATGAGGCAATCTTATTATTGAGGATTATGCAGCTAAATCACATGTGGTTGTGGATTGTTAACTACACCGGCATCATGTATTGTTAACTACACTGTTAGGCTGCGTTTGGTTGCAGTCCACTTTTATTTGCACTAGTACATGTATCATGTATGGAGTGCAAATGAAAAGATTGCAGTTTCTTGTTTAATTTTGTTTTTGATTTACTTTGTTCTGCTTTGGGTCCTCTCTTACTTTATATTAAATAAAAATTGAAAGAAAATAAATTAGAATTTACACCAAAATCATTTGGAGTACCATATTTTTGCGAGACCGGATCTGCTCCTCACACCTGGTGCCTTGTTTTAAATGAACGGTGGATGTGTTTGTGAGGTGCACATTTGTGAGGGGCATATTCTGTCACTAATTTTGCGTCAATGCAAATAAATTTGCGTTACACCTTAGTTGGATCTTTTTGACTAGATATATTCTGTGCATTTACGTAGTTATGTAATCATCACTTAAGCTAATGTTTTTAGTTTGTAGTCTTTTTGTATGAGTGTGTATGGATATGGACCGCTTATTAGCCTGAGCTCCATGGCACCTCTAGGCTCTAACCCTTTTCCCTTTTGTCTAGTTGGATTGAAATTCCAAATTCTTGGTGCGAAGCATCTTATTATCATACATTTAATTTTTATGATATAACAGGGAGATTGAAAAAACAAGACAAACAAAACTAGACCCAGCGAGTGAGGGCTCTGCCTGTTGCATCGAGAAAGACAATACATTTTAGCTCCGAGTGGGGTTCCTCAACGTGATATCTTGGCGTATGTTTGGCATCATTGCCGTTGCTTCAGTGTCACATTAGTGTCATGTAGGAAAAAATGATACTTCAGTAAATGGGTGTTTAGAATTATTTTTCTATAAAAAATAATACTTTAAGTCATACTTTAGAAATTGGAAAGTCAAGGTTTGAAGCAATGCCGAATTTGACGTTTTCTGAAACTGCAGCTCTTTGTTGCCAACATGAATGTGAGGTGGAAGTGATGGATAACATTTCCTAAAGCCTTGATATCAAACAGAAAACGTTACTATTCCTCCCAGAAAATGTCCTATCTAACAGCAACATTTCTTAAAGTGCTTTTAAATTCTAACCCACACATCAGAAAATGGTGCTGCCATTGGTGCCAAACATATATGCAGCATCGATGCCAAACATATATTTCGCGGTCTTCCTTGAGTGTGAGTAATAAAACTTTTCTGATAATAAAACTTTTTTGATGTCCCCTGATTGCACTCCTGACTTCCATTGGATCGTTGAAATGCCTTGGAGGAATATGGAGAGATCGTTGTGTTCCAACCTCACACCCTCTGTCCCTCTCTTCTTCTTGCTCTTTTAAAAGGAATATAGAGATTACATTTACATCTGCGCCCCACACTACACCCCAATTTCCTTGATTTTACTATTTTGTTTTTTTTTTTTTTTGCTTTTAAAAACTACCCTAGATTTTATATATGGCTGCAAATAGATTCACCTATGTGATCCATGTAATCTGAATTTATGCTCATATGCATTTATATTGCATTTAGTAAAAGTGATTTTGTCCATGTAATTCGATTCAATTTAAATATTTATGCTCATATATACATTTATATTGCATTTAGTAAAACTGATTTGAATGAAAAAGACAAAATCAAAATCAACCATGAATCACAACCAACTATGTTGTTAGAACTTAGAACACCCCAGTTCAAACATGGAAAGTGGGTGATCATGATGGGCCCTGCTGAGATCCACCGTCCATCTAGTGGTGGATAATGGGTGCTCAATTTCATGTGCACCACATTGGATACGTTTCCTTTGCATGTGAAGGAAGTGAGTAGAAACTTATAAAAAGGCTCTGGGTTGAGGTTCCCCTCTTCCTCACTCCTCACTCCTTAGTCCTTACCCGTAATGACAAGTTTACTGTGTTCTCACTCTCCACGCAAGGCATAATCACCATTTGTTTGTTTTAGCCTGACAAACCATCTCTCCCTCTCTCTCTGCTCAACCAACAGAGAGCCCATCTCTATTAATTTGTTCGTTCGTATACTCTTCGTCGATCCATTCGGAATTGGCTTGAGCATTGAAGATTTTCAAAGTTCAAGTTCCGTTTAATGGTTGCTCAAGTGATGGGATGGGAGCTCAGAAGAGCATCCATGCTGGCAAAGGTTAGTACTTCTTTGTAATCGAAATACAGAAAAATCGAAACCCACAACCAAAAATCCCTATTTTCTTCTCTTTTAACCATTTGTTGTTTTGACGCCATTGTCTCTGCTCCACAGCCAAGATAGATGTGAACGTTGATTTCACTCACAAGCTATGTGCAGCGTTGATGCTTCCTCCTCTCAGGTTTTTTATCTCATTCCCAAGCTATGTGCAGTTTGGTTATATTTGTTGCAAGTTGCGATATTTCACAGAGAATTTGGTTTTCTTCAGGGACAATGGAAATCCGCTTTCATTGATTATTGGGAGGTACGGTATTGGTTTCTGTTGATCTTATTTGAAGATGGGTCGTTCGATTATCGTCTTTTTCAGTTTTTGATGTTCTGAGTTTGTTCTGTTCGTTGTAGTCTTTGCATCAAACACCCCAATTTGTTTGGCGGAAGTGAGAAGCTTGACGTTTCCTGGGATAAGGGGCTTTATGATTCCAATATCTTGATAGCTTATAGGAGGCCAAGACCCGAATGGCTGGCTCAACAGTCCTTTGTCATTCAGGTTTGTCTCTGTATCTTTTCTTTTTCTTTTTACGGATGACGTTTACTCTTTTGGTTATAGGCAATTACAGGCAAATTGGGGAATTTGGAGCTACTATATTGCGATTGGGAGAGATCGTTTTGTGTCTAATAGGAATATTTGGTGTATACAGCATTCAATTTCACCCGAGATTGGGGTCCATGGCCTGCCCATTGACAACTTTTCTCGCTCGGGAAGTGGTGGTGTCAATCTGTGCCGTTTCTCGGCAGGGGTTGATCTGAATGAGCCCGCAAGTTCCAATTGGAGCAGCACAACCAGCATAAAGTTTGAGGTAGGTTTCACTTGTTACAACTCTCAACTTTTCCTGTTTCAGCACCGATCCAAAAAAAAAAAAAAAAAAGAAAAGAAAGAAAAATTTTCCGGTTTCAGCCTTTCAGGTTCAATACCGAATTCTAGCTGTTAATTTAATTTATCCATTGTAATTTCGATCAGCATGTACGTCCAATCAATGACGATGGTCGTTCCATAAGCAGAGACATTGATGGGTTTCCTGTGACTTGCAGGTAATTCTGGCTTGCAGTTATTTGTCAATCTTGAAATTAAGCTGAAGAACTGATTTTATCTTTTTTCTGTTTGAAATGCCTTTTATGCAGCGGTGGTCCTCATGATAATATGGTGGTTCTGAAGCAGGAGTCCCATTATGCCAAGGCAAATGAGAGCAGTTTCTCTCAAGTAAAATATTCGTACCATCCATCTAGAACTTGTGATTTTTTTCCACTTGTATGTTAATCTTATATTCTAAAATCAAGGATAAGACATTTGTAATTCATTAACTTTGTTGTTATGTGGTTCAGTTGAGTCTTCAAATAGAACAAGGAATGCCTGTTCTATCTAGGTGGCTAATTTTCAACCGATTCAAATTTGTTGCATCAAAGGGACTTAAAGTAGGGCCTGCATTTTTCTTGACTAGGTGAATCATGAATGACATTTCTATTTTGCAATATTTGGAAATGACTTGTGCTTGGTTCTTGTCGATTCCTTGTTATCATCACTCTGACCTTTTCCTTCAACAGCCTGACAGGTGGTTCCATTGTGGGGGACATGGCTCCTTATCAAGCATTTGCAATTGGGGGCCTTGGTAGCGTTCGTGGTTATGGAGAAGGTGCAGTTGGGTCTGGGAGATCATGTCTGGTTGTGAACAATGAACTCACATTCCCTTTGGTATGTACTAATTTTGCCCCCTTTCTTGAGGACCTTACTGTTTCTCAGGTTACATGCTAAGTTGCTTATGCAGGCAACTTGCCTGTTCTTGGGTCAAGTTACTCAAGTATTGCCGAAGACCTGAAGTCATTTCAATGTTGGTCAAATTGCAAAATAAAACTAAGCCTATTATCCTTCTTCAAAAGACATTCCCTGCTCAGACATGTTACTTTTGTAGCTGATAACCATGGCATGAACTAAATTGGTTCTAATATAACCATAATTTGTCAAAATTTTATGATTTCTGTATAGTTCATGATTTGAATTGTGAATCCCGAAGTGTTTGTATTCGAACCTCATGCCTAAATCCTTTTTCTAAAAGTATCTTGCAATTACTGTTTGAATCTTATGATTTGATTCATGAATCTTACAATTTATATGATTAATGTGTTTTATCATTTGAATCAATTCAACCGGAACCTACTTTTCTACTTCATTGTTTCTTTATTTTATATAATTTTTCAAGGGACTTTTGTTTCAAAACCTGTACTGAATAAGATTTACTGGGTTATTAAAAGCCTATTTAGAAACCTTATTGTTTTTTTTTTCCTTTTTTTTTTCTCAATCACATATAAGTTAAGGAACCATTTTTTTTCCTTTTGTTTTTAATCAATACAGTTTAGTTGTATTAATGGTGTAGGACGGGAAGGAGTCTGTTATTCATCAAAAAAATAAAAAGGGAGAACATCCTACTTGGGTGGACATGGTGGGAAGAAGAGGGAGAATGAAGGATCTGAATTATGAGAGGATACATACTATCCATAAAATCACATAGCATGGTATAAATGCAAAACAGCCTTTACCTGATCAAACTAATTATTATCTGATTGAGACATTACAATTCACTCCCAAGTCTCCCATCCCCAGGATTTCCTCATAGTAGATTCTGCCTCGTCACCTCTGTCCTTGCTAGAGTATCATCCAAGCAATTGGAAATCCTTGGGACCCACTTGAACGTGCAGTCCAAGGAACTATTATATATGAGCTAATTTACTTTCTTGTCAAATTTGATTATGTCATCTTACCGTTCAAGTGTACAAGTGGTAAAGTCTGTTATACTAATTAAACATATGGTGGTTTCAACTTTAAAATTAGTTGAAAATAACTCATATATGTATAAAATTTTACCATATTGTTTTTTACAAATTTAAAAATAAAATACTTACGATTTTTGATATGATTAATGATTCGATCCAATGCAACCTTTTCTATGATTTATGATATAATTATGATTTTCAAAAAATTAGTTCTAACAATAACGATGTGGAATTAGCAGAAAAAAATAATAATAGTGTGGAATTGTTGTCACCATGGGCTCCCTTGCCATCAAGTTGAAAAGTAGCTGTCTTTAATTAGAGAAGAATATTGAAAAATTGGCATTAACTTACATCCATCTCTAAACAGGATTATATGGATCTGTTAATCACCCTTATCTGCCTTCTGTGGTCCAGCAGATGTCATGAGCCTGAGGTCTTGAAGTTAGACTTTGAAACGTATACAAAATGAGCGTCTAGATCCAACAAAGCCCAAGTAAGCTAATAAGATCTCTCCTTTTTGCATGATGTTCTGTCTATGCCTGATGGACTCATTTTTCTCAAGGATCAGCCATCATTATTTTTAGGGGAGGGAAATCTCTGAAAAGAAACCTGTCTATAATTGGAAGAGATAACTGAAAGTTGTACAAAAACAATAGGTGTCCATCCTTGAACCAAATCATCCGTAGAGAATTCTCATTTTTGTTTTCTCTGTATGCAGTGAATGGGGGACCCTACTAGTGATCAGATCTGTCAAGATACCAGGGGGCCGTTGAACTTTCATCCTTGAACAGTTGAACCATATCATCCATGGGTTGTTTAATTTTTATATGTTTATTGTATTTAGCCTAATTGAATAAGAGCTTTTAGAAATCATTTATTGGTTTAGGAAGGGAACTTTTCAAAATTAAATTACAACAGAGACACACTTCTCTTGTTCTATATGGCAAATATTGACAGTTTGATAAATGCAAATTTCTTTTGCAAGTGGAAAATCAATATTTAGACCTGTACAAGATTTGTAGAATTTGCTTTTGGCCACTGGAGCAAAGGTCAAGTAATTTACACCGTATATCTATGCATGGCCCCTTACAACCAATCTAGCTTTGTACCTCTCAATAGGCCCATTGGAATTATACTTGATTGTCTAGACCCTAGTGTATAGGTGGGCCTCACCTACAGAAGCATTTTCTTGACCTCTTTTATAAAGGAGAGAAAAAATCTTTTTGAGATGTACAAAAGCAGGAATCTTTTGGACAGTTTTGGAAGAAAGAAATGCAAGAACCTTCAGGGAAACCATCCAATCATAGGAAGCCTTAATTGAAAACATTGATGTAAAGGTGGCCCATTGGGTGAAAACCTTCAAGATCTATGCACCATTCTTGACAAATAACATTATTAGAGAATGGCAAGTCATCCCTTTGTCATCCACAGCTCAAAGCATCAAAGCATCAAAGCATCAAAGCATCATAGCCACACTTTAGTCCCCCTCCTCCCAATACTCTCAAGCTGTATTTCATGGCTGTAGTTTGGGGAACTAAGGAGCTTCAGGTATTGGAGGAGTATATAGGGATGCCAATAGGTTCATAATCACAATTTACTCTGTACCCATTGGAGTGGTTGGATGGTTTCAGAAAAATAGCCTAGGGCCTTAGCAATCCCTACATATGATTAGAGAAGTAAGGTACCTGGCTAGGCAATCAAGCATGAGCTTCTTCTGCATTCAATGATCAGCAATCAGGCTAGCTGATGAGCTAGCCAAACAAGGAGCACAAAGGGATCAGCTGTTTTGGGGGAATGTCCCCCCTAGTTATTTATGGGGGACAAAGGGGATGGACAGCAGCAGGGGATGGCCCACACTCAAAGGGGTGCTAGGCACACTTTTATGTACAACATTTTTTTATAATCAATAAAATCTTTAAGTTATCCATAAAAAGGGGAATTGTCAGGTAGTAATTGATGGATGGTCTCAACAAGGGAAGGTCCTTGTGCTCTCATATTTGCTCTAAGAGAGGCAAAATCCATTGCTACCCTTCTGAACACCTTGTTCAGGTGGGTCCTTGATCTATAAATGCTTTGACAGATTCACTTGCCATTGTTGGGGTTGGGAGACTAGGTCTTTGTTTTGGGGCACCAAACCTTGGGGCCAGAACATCTATCATGAATGTATTTTTTGTATTTTTTCTTGTTTTTATCTTGTATCACACTACGCTCTTTTCCCTGCTATTAGGCCTCCCTAGTAGTAGGGGTCAACCTCTTTTCTACTTGATAAAAATTTCTGACTGTTAATTATCAAGAAGAAAGGGAAGAAAGAAAATAAGTGTTACAAATACTGAAAGGATGCCATTTTACAGTAAACATTTTGATTAAATGCATGCATTTTTAGGGTACTGTGTACCAGGTTTGGTCCTATGGGACTCTGGGTTTCTTAAGGGTACTTTTCTTGTTACAAACATGGTTCAAAGTATTGATACGCTTCTGTGTATCGGCAGAGGCGTATTGGTACTTAGATACACACAGAAATATTTTTTTTAGTTTCTTTTTTTTTTTCAAAATTTGGTTTTTGGGAAGATATTTAAGCCTATTTTTTATTAAAAAAGAGTTGGGTCCCGAAACACCTGTAAACAAGTGTATCAGACCCCCAAAGATACGATACGACATGCCTGATATATATCCAATGAACCTTGGTTACAAAGCATATGAATTTTTATTGAATTTGAAATCCAATGAAGTTGTTGGGCCTTGTGCAATTAGGATATCTTAATGAATGCAGTTCCTATAATATATATTCTTTCTTATAAAGGAGGAGCTCTGTCACTGACATGCTGGGGGTGGTTTATTTATATTTTTGATAGTCATTCCTGCAATTTAATGTTTGTTGTAAGGTCACTATGATTTATAAACTGGCTACTTCGGATGAAACCCATAAAGAATATGGGGAGTTTTCTTGTTATCAGTGATTATTTTCTATTACTGTTGTTGATGTTACTTCATTGATATGCTTGAATGCTCTCTACTAAATCATAATTTTATATCTTCCAGTGTTATGAAGCTATCATCTTTTGCAGTTGCAATTTGAAAAGAATGAGAAAATGGAAAATAAAAATAATGCAAGTACTAAAACTTCATTATCTTTTTTTTTTTTACTCAGAATAAGGTGTTGGAAGGTACTATTTTCGTGGACTGTGGCACAGACTTGGGCTCCGGTCACCATGTACCTGGTTAGTTGTATTATACTTGATAGTTCTTCAATTGCACTTATTCTTAGGTTTGAACATACCGTTGGCATATTTTCATTTTATAGGTATATAGACATGTATCTATTACCCTACATAAAAGGGAGAGTTCAACTCCCTATTTCACGATCCTTGCAATTTATCTTATTCTTTTTGTATTCCTACTCTCTCCTCTCATTCTCCATTTTCACCCATTAAATGTTCTGTATCTGAAACCCATCTCTCTATTTCTTTCTATCTCTATCTCCATATCTTGTCTCTTTATGACAGATTTCATGTTCAATGTTGATGTAGAACATGTAAGGCCTACAAATTTTAAATTTGGTGGTGGGATTTTCGGGGTGAAGACCTGATTTGGGTGATTAATGATGATGCATAGAGATGGAGAAGCAGGTACACAGCTTGCAATCCACCAAAGAATGATTGAGAAATTAGAAAGGAAAACTGTTGCTGTTATAGTAAATGACAAAGGGAAATCTTTTGTAAATCTATCAGGATCCATTCAGTATCAACCATTGATCTTTATTGTTCTTTTTTCTTTTTGGTTGAGACTGTAAATTCTGGAGGTGAGTTTACTTGAAGAAGGAAATGGAGAAGAAGGACAAGGGAAAGTTTCTGCTGGCAACAAGATGGATGAGGGAGATCATGATTGAAGTGAAGAAGATGATTCTCAAAGAATGCAAGAACAGCAGACAATATTCCAGGTCCATTAGCAAATGATCCCAAACCTGTTTTAATAGGACAGTGATAAAAAGTGACCCTATGCATAGCCCTAGAAACCAAATCTCCCCAATGATTCTCCCAGGCTAAGTTGCAAAGAAATCTATCCAGCTTAGATCAAAGAAGATTTTCTTGATGATTAGACCAGGTGAACCTAGCTTGCTGGAGTGGAATTTCCTTCAACTCACAGTCTTCAATAAAACCATTGAACTCCCTCATGCTGATTGTAATCGACTGATGTTCCTCAGAGAATATTATAACATTTAAGTCCTCTCCCAAGCACCAATGACCATCCCATAACCCTTGAATTGCATACAACTCCTCTCACATTTCATTCTTTTCTTTGTAGTTATTGCCTTATTGGGGTCATAAAGGTTGGTTAAGATCCAAATGAGACTAAACTATTGGCTAACTAAACTATTTAATAAGATGATGAAAACAAAGATGTCGGATGAATGGAGAAAGAGCACTATGGTACCTATATTTAAAAAACAAAGGCAATATACAAGGTTGTAATAATTATGTGGGGTTAAGCTTATCATCCATACTGTGAAACTTTGGGAGAGAATAATTGAGCAAATATTACGACATGAAAAAAGTAAATAGAAAACCAATTTGGGTTTATGCCGGGGAGATCAACCATGGAAGCCATCTTTCTATTAGGATGATTGATATAAAAATTTAGAAAGAAGCAGAGAGATCTTCATATGGTATTAATTGATCTAGAGAAAGCATATGATAGAGTAACTAGAGAAATAATATGGTGGGTTTTGGAAAAGAAAGGAGTTCCAAATAAGTGCACAAACCTATTTAAGGATATGTATGAGGGTGGTAGTACTTTGGGAGAGATGAGATTTTATAGTAACAATGGGTCTTCACCAAGGTTTAGCACTTAATCCTTATTTATTTGCACTAATCATGAATGAATTGACCAAACATAGACTAAAACTAATGAAGGGTTAAATGCAAAATTACATTTATGTACAAATTCCTTAGAAACAAGAGATTTTAAAATAAGATTAAAAATTTAAAACAAAATATATGCAATGTAGGTTTAACAATAATAGGAGTGCAAATCAGGGTACATTTGGGATCGGAGACCAAGAGATAACTCAATGTGAGCTTTTCTGTTACCTTGGTTCAATAATTTATAATAAGGGAGACATCTCCCATAGAATTAGAGTAGGATGGGAAAAACGGAGGGGTGCATTTGGAGTTTTATGTGATAGGCAAATACTACTTGGGCTAAATGGAAAACAGTTGTAAGGTCACAAATGTTGTATGGATAGTGTTGGAAAGTCATGAAACATATCCGATAAATGAGTGTAGTATAAATGCAAATATTGATATGGGTGAATGGAAAAACTAGAAAGGACAAGGTTAGAAATGAAATCATTCAAAGAACCTAGGAGTAGCTCCAATAGGTGATAAAATGAGAGAAAGTAGACTATGATATGATTTTGTCACATGCAGAGATGACCATCTTAGCACCTATAAGAAGTGATCTATTACAAATTAAAGGGGCTAGAAGAGCTAGGGGCAGATTGAAAAGGATGTAGGTTTAAGTGCTCATAATTTAACAGTGGATATGACACCGACCAGAATGGAATTGGAAAACAGGATTCATGTAGCCGACCCCATACAGTTGGGACGGACAAGGCTTAGATGATTATGTTTCAACTTCTCCTTTTACCAATCTAAATAATGTTACTGTCATAATTTAACAATGGAAATGTCTTATGTAATGAACATTTCTCTTTTGGCTTTGTTTGTTAAAAATGTAAAATGAAATGAACACATTTCATGCTGAAATGTTTGAGCTATATTTTTGCCTCCTTTACAATGAAAACTTTGCTTTCCTTGTCATTTACATTAAAAGAAGTTAAATGGGGTGTAAAACGAAGTTTTCAATGCAAAAGAATAGTGAATAGTGAATACTAACTTTTTGTTCACTTGTGTCATCCAGGAAATCCTGCTCTTAGACATGGCAAACCAGGGTCTGGATTTGGTTTTGGTTATGGCCTTCGATTTAAATTTCATTCTGGTCAGTTTCAGATTGATTACGCCATAAATGCCTTTCAGCAAAAGAGTGTCTATTTTGGCATCAGCAACGTTGTTTCATGAAAGTGCCCATTGTGCATGAAGGATACCGTTTGTGTCAAAAAGTCAATTACCATGGAAAAATGCCCAAGGCTATGCAAATAACTTTGAGCAAGATATTTTATGATAAAAAAGGTACTGAAGACGGTCCTATTGGTTGAAAAGATCAAAGCTCTGGTTGAGCCTCACTTGCACAACAATCATGCCACCAAATTGATCTTGTTGCAATTGTTCCATGTATTTTTCACATTTTGATCAGAGAGCAATTTGAAGTTGCTAAGGCTGTGTTTGGTTTGAAGGAAAAAGTAGGGAAAGGAAAGGAAAGGTAGGGAAACCCATACAAGGTTTTAAAGGATTCCCTACCTTTCCCTTCCTTTTCCTACTTTTTCCTTCAAACCAAACATAGCCTAAAGGAAATTGATAAAAAAATTACCTATCATGTCATTTACTTGTGTCCAAGTTTAGATTCCTTGGCATGGCCAACACAATTTTATTGTACTGCAACTTCTGAAAGATATGCAGAGAGAATTTTCAAGGAGTAAAAATGCAAATATGTAGGGTGCAAAACCTTATAATTTGTATTATTTTTGTATGTGTTTGCACCGTACATCTTTGTATTTGTATTCTTTCCAAACTGAGTTATTTTACTACCTTGAGCCTTGACAGGATCTTCACCAATTACATCTCATAGATCATAATGTTGAGCTGCATATGTGACTGTCCTGGACGATACAGTAGTGAGAGCCCAGTCAAAGCTTTGTACAGACAAAATATGATGAAGCCAGGTTTAGTGCTAAATGTCTGTTCACAGATTTGTTTCCAATCCTTCTTGTATTAATAAGGTTTGAGCTTCTGTTTTGAGAGTGTCTTGGGTAAGGGGATAGAGGTTAATGTGTTTTCATAGAATGAACACCCAAAACAGAAAGTTGTCCCATCTATGTGATTAACAAGATCAAAGGAGGCCAGCTCAATTAGATGAGCAGGAATAGATCCAGTGGAGACAGGGTGGTGCCTGCAGGCTGCATCTTAGAGAGTGTTTGGCATCGATGCTATTTTTTGAGAAACGGTGCCACATCAGAGAAAGCGGTGCTTCAAACAACGTTCTCTTGTTTGGTACCATTTTTTCAGAAAAATGTTGCTTCAGACTATATCTTGGAAATTGAGAAAGTGTGGTATGAAGTAATAATATGGAAACAGTGCATTGTTACTTGCCAGCAGTGTAATAATATGGTATCAACCTGGATATTGGATAATATAGATCAATGTTGAAAATGTTGTTGTCAGCACTGTTACCAAACAAAACCAGTGCTGTTTTCTTAAAAAATGCCTATGTGGCATCACCAGTTTCAAATAAAAAGTACCACATGCTCAACTCCATTTTTATAAGAAAATGGTGCGATGTTCTCAGCACCGGTGCCAAACACCGGTGCCAAACACCTACTGGTTACAAGCTACGGTTTCAGGGACTGTGTTAGGGGCCATTTATTTAACCAGTAATAATAAC